ATAGTACAATATTAACAAACTGGAACTCAGAAGTCAGGACCCTGGCCCTGGAGCAGTCAGAGTTGTGGTGTGAGAATGAGAGACAAGGAATGTAAGCCTGTAAAAACAGCTTGTGCTAACTAACATCGTGGACATGGTGTGAAAACTTGTTCTCTAAAATCATAGACTGAGAAGCTTGGCTATTTGAAATGATATCAGTGAGAATGAAATAGCTCACTCTTGCCTGATGGCTCTGAGTCACACAGGTCACTAACAGAGAAACAGCCTCGCTTTCCAACCCAGGCACAGAGCTTCAGATAGGGGTCTTCAGACATAATATTCCACATTTAACTTTGAATTTCCAAGATAACAGGAACCCTGGGTCTGTTTCTTAGACCAGCCTGTATATTAACCCCTTTACACACTCTCTCTGTTTTACTTTGAGCCAAACACAGTCTCACCTAAATTTTCCCTAAACTCCACACTTCCTCCAAATCCCATGGTAACTCTATCTCTTCCTCTATTTGGTGAGAAGCTGCACTTCTGCTTGATTGTCTCCCTTGCTGAAGCAAGTTGAATCAACCTAGCTTTGTGGGGCCATAGGTGTGTTCCTGGCTTCAAGAGGGGTCAGAAAGTGATGAAAAGTGGTGTTGGGTTCACTGAGTAGAAAAAAATGGAGTCTGCAAGATGGCTGGACCAGGTGAACGACTATTGAGGAGACACGAATGGAGACAGAGAGAGAAGAAGAGAGGGTGAAGAATAAGAGAAGGTAAGAAGAAGGAAGGTTGAGAAGAAGACAGATAGTCTTGTAAGGAAATGGAAATGCAATTCCTGATCAAGAGTCTGTCTGATGGTGCCCTATAGACCTTTGAGACAGCTAGGAGAAGTGGATCTGTTCTAATAATGTAGGTGTGGGGTATGGTATGGTGAAGTCGGTGCAGCCACAAGAGAAGAGAACCAGGCTTGAAAGGCAGAAGTTTATTATAGTCACAGATCCCAAAGAGGAGGGCACTGCATGCCATGCAGGGCCACAGGGGGAAGCACCACTGTCAGTCAGAACGCAGAAAGGAGCAAGAGGAAGGCCTAGGCCACAGACTTTATTGGGGTTTCTGCAGGAAAGGCAAGGCAGGGCAGGTAAACAACTTAGGATTGGCCGGTTTGAGTAATTCTGGTGCGCTTTGGGCTATTGAGGTGGTCTTTAATTGCCAAGTACCTGGCCCTGGGATGATTTAGGACAGAGGAAATATTGCCTTGGTGTGTGAGAGTTAGATAAGGAGGTGACTGGTGTATAGACATGATTGGTTGGTCAGTTTATGACAGATGTGATCCTGAACAAGCACTTTGCCATCTCTCCCCAGTCTGCAAGGCCTCCAAATGCCAGAGAATCAAAGTACAGAAAATAGGAAAATATAGTTAATATACTTGACCCTGTGATAAATGCCTATCAAACTGACAAATACAGAATCTAAGAAAATGCAGAACAGGATCTAATCCCCTTACAGATTATATTAGTTTGCTAGGGCTGCCATAACGAAGTACCACAGACTGGGTGGCTTAAACAGCAAAAATTTATTTTCTCACAGTTCTGCAGGCTGGAAGTCCAAGGCCAAGGTGTCAGCAGGGCTGGTTTCTTCTGAGGCCTCTCCTTGGCTTATACATGGGCAGTCTTCTCCCTGTGTCTTCCCATGGCCTTCCCTCTGTGTGTACCTGCATCCTGATCTCCTCTTATAAAAACATCAGTCATATTGGATTAGGTCCCACCCTAGTAATCTCATTTTAACTTAATTACCATTTTAGGGAGCCTATATCCAAATACAGTCACATTCTGAGGTGCTGGGGGGGTTAGACTTTAACAAATGAATGCGTGGGAGAAGAGAACACAATTAAGCTTATAGCACAGATAAAGTTAGTTATGCATCTTATGGATTTCCAAGTCATGGGTTCCTGTGGAAAAAATAATCTAAAGTGGATGTCATGCAGCAAAAGGAAATAGAATTACAAACTGAATATATAGGGCCTGAGGGTGAGGGAAGGCAGGTGGGGCAGCGCCTTTGGGTGGCTGGATCACAGAGGTTTTCAACAAAGAGCTAATGAGAAAGCATCTGCTGCTCCCAGGACTCAGGCACCTTGACTCCTGGACTATCAGAAAATAAAGTGAAGCACCAGCATTCTAATTTGAATTTTCTCCAATCTGAAATATGTAGTGTTTAGTTTGACAATTTGGCCTTTGAGTGTGATCTAGGAATGCAGGTCCACTCAAGGACCAACTTCTCTCAAGCTGGGGGTGCCCTAGAATCAGAAAGCATCATTATCCATGTCCTGGGAGTCTTGGAAGAGCCCTCATAGAAGAGCAGAAGCTCCTCTGACAGAAAAAGCTGGCTGGGTCAGGGATGCAATGTGGAACTCGGGGACTGAACAACACTCACCTGAATCCTCCAGAGCTAGTCAAATAATGCTGCCCCATTAACCTCACCCACATCTCCCTAATTCCATCCCCACCAACCCATCAATGCAATGGCATCTCATTCAAACAACTTGGTTCACCGAAATCCAACTTGGAGTTTAGAAGAAGTACTCTTCGGGCTGAGTTTGGGGTAATGTTAAAAAAACCTCTCTCCTGCAACTAAGTACACACATGTTTTTCTCCCAAGGTTTGCCTTCGTGAAGCAGAACAAGCTGTAGCATATCTTTTAGGAAATGGTGATTTCAGTACTAGGAAAAAGTGGATTCTAGTGAGTTTCAGAGGTAGAAATTTTTTCACGTATACACCAATGCCTGACTCAGTTATATGGAAGTAAGAAATGCTCCCAGGTATGTCAAAGGCCCCAGGACCAACGTCACTCTGCAAAGAAGGAGCTTTATCTTCTCATTTTGAGAGATTCCTTTTAAAATGGTCATCCATACTTAAAGAAGCTTTATTCCTGACAGTGCATGGTTTTTCAGTTCTAAAAACTAGCATTAATGAGCAATCACTCTGCACCATAACACACACCTTCCATCTGAGGAAACAAATAGCTCTTTCCTGCATCCCTGAAATTATTCTAGTATAGTTTATCACTTACTGGGCCCTGGTTACCCAAGTGGTTCAGTCTGTTCTAATGGGACATTGTGCATTGAAGGTAGTTACTCACCTCATGTTTACTAGTGGTTTTCAAGTGGAAATCATCTCCAAACTTTGCTACTTGTTGTTAAACTGTTCAAGTTGTTAGATTCTATTCTCAACTGTCCTGGCTCCTGCTTCCTAATCCATATCTTGTACCAACAAATGCTCACCACAGACAAGGTCAGTATTTGTCTAGAATCTCTAGAAAACAGGAAATCAGGATGTTATGGTTTTTTAATGTTTTTATTTTTTACCAAAGTAATAAATTTTAATGTACAGGACTAAATGCAGCTTAATATTACATCTGCTAGGCATCTTTCATGTATGTATCGCTCATCCTCTTTTCAAAGTAACCTCGTCACACCCAGAGGAGGTAGGTAGATGCTATGAGCACCAAGGTCCCCATTTTTCAAAGAGAAAAATACAGAGTTGAGACAAAATAATTTACCACCATATATATAGCGAATCATTGACAAGGTCAGAAACAGAATCTAGGACAATCTAGATACTTTATGATGCTCCATCCACTAGCTTTCAATTCTCTCCCTTTATCCTCTCAAAGCTCAAAAATATCACAAACTCCCCACAAAACTGAGTACTCTGAGTAATACTAGCCATGTGAAATTCTCCACTTTTCCTTGTTTTCTGCCTAGCTTAAGGGGAATATGAGGGCACATCAAATATTTTCTTTTCCTTTCACAAGAAGTAGCCATTCTTTACCTGTTGAACCATTTTTATACCCAAGGAACCACTCTCAGCTCTTTTCTAAGCTAGCCTGAAATCAGTCAATACTAACATCATGACTTCCACAGGATTATATTACAATATGATTAAGATTCCACAGGTGGAACTAAAAGAAATAAATTAATTAAATTTAATTTTAATTTAAAACATTTCTCCCTAGGAAACAGGTAAAACAAGAAATAAAAGTGTTGAGTGCTACCACCTGGAACAGAGACCACCCACCCCAAACTTGGTCAATGGATGACCACCAATCAAGACACCTAAGAAAAGAAGAGCTGTGGTCACATGAACTCACAGGGAGGAGGATCTCTGGCTAAAAGTTTCAGTGTTTCAGGAGAGTGTGGCTGCTTTGAGATGACAGATGCCCCCAAGAGGCATATGTGCTCTATTTTGTGACACTGAGTCAGTTACTAAGCCTGTATGTCAATATCAGCACCATGAGGAAGAGGAGCCTCTGAAAAATGCACCCCAATTCATTATAGTCACCAGAGTGTGTACTCTGTGCAGCCATAAGGTTAACCAAAAATAAAGCAAGCATTTATTAACAAATACCCACATCATTCATTCAGTCCACAAACATTACTGAGTGGCTAAGACAGTCCAGGCACAGGAAATGCTAAAATGAATGAAATCTCAACACAAAGAACTGACAATGGACACTTTTAAGAAAACCAGAAAATCCCCTTGACTCGGAATTATCTGCTTTCCCCGCTGGCCTGAGGCTGGAGCCTAGGTCCCTCCCTTTGGCGTTAGTACTGCCATGTCCAGGCCCCTCCTTCAAAGAGCAAACACCCAGGACAGGGACCCCATCAAGTTCACATCCTCAGCTTCAACGTGTTCATCAGTTTATCAGATTGATCTTTCCTGTGCCAGGAAAACCTTGACAGGGATATCATGAGGAGGTGGGGAGATTTTTCTTTTAAAAAAAAAAATGAAGGGGGAAGTTAGATAGGGAAAGTGGTAGGAACCAGGGAGACCACAACTCTTAAAATAATATTCAAGGGTCACAAACAATGTTGACGTGCTGAATCTACCTGAGACAAACTTGCATCAGACATCACCTTAGTCTGCCTTTTCCTAGACATCAGACTGCCTTTTCCTAGACATCAGACTGAGTGGAATTTCCTTCTGCAGCTCCGATATGTACAGATGATTGTATCACACTGGCCTCAAATACATAAGTTAACAGCAAAACAGCAATTTTTCTCTAGCTAGCCTGTAATTACAAATGTACACATTTATCAACTGGGCAAACTTTAAAACTAGCTCGTGTCCCTTCAACACTGCAGAACGGGATTAAAAGGAGACAGAATAAAGATCCCAGCCTTCACAAGCACAGCCTGCAGCAGAAGGCAGGACTCAGGCAAAATACCCATGACAGAAAACGGCCACGGTCAGGAGGATAATGCCATTGATGTTCACTATCGTCCTCCACAAAGGCTTCTCCGAGGTGTCTGTCATCTTCAGCTTCATGGCTGCCTCCTCTTCCTTTGTCATTTTGGGACCCTTCTGCTGGTCCAGACCACAAAACAGGTCATAGGCCCGCCTGAAGCATCCTTTTTTCTCCTCAGGAACTTCTGTGTCAAGGGAAAAGCATAAAAGGATTGTTGGATACAGAAGCAGGAGGCACCAGAAAAGGTTTCCAGGGGAGATGCCATTCCATGAAACATCTGCCATTTTGCAGACATTTCCCAGTTTTCTTGTTTGCAGGAATGAAAATGGTACAAATTTATGTTTGTATAAACATAATTATAAGATGATGTTAATAGATGGATTCTACATCCTTATGATCAGCTTGCCTATGTTTTATCTCTGTTGGGCCCAATGTAAATACATTTTGATTTAGAACAGTCAGAATCAAACAGGAAATAATAGTTTATGAGAGAGAAATGTTAACAATTGGCTGGGGACTGTGACGTATGAAGAACATGGAAAACCCACCTCCCAAACACAGAAACTCACGTCTGTTTGCTACATCACTGAAAAGCAATGAGATTGGCATGACTCAGGAGTGCACTGGCTACACCTGGAAACTCCAGGGCTTCACAACAGATCCAGCCATGTGGTAAGGATTGGTCTGAATAGTCCCTGCTACAAGGCAGCAGTGATCAACACTTCCAGGGCTTAAGATCTGATACTGCTGAGTTGAACCATTCAACTGACCTTGCCATTCAAAGTGGATGCCCACCAAGGGAACTAATTCTGTCTGCTGAGCCCAGGTGTGGCATTAGAAGTAGGCAGACCTGGGTTAGAACCTCAGGTTTGTGACTCACTAGATACAAAATCAAGCCCACTGTGTTTTCAGCACCATGGTCAGGGACCACTGCTCTCCACTCTCCCAGTTCCAAGAATCACAGACTTACTGAATTGGAAAGAGCCTCAGTGGTCAAGCACATACATGTGTCAGAACTGGAACCAAAACCCAGCTTTATGGCCTTCTTTTTTTTTTGCTTTTTTGAATTTTATTTTATTTATTTTTTTATACAGCAGGTTCTTATTAGTTATCCATTTTATACATATTAGTGTATATATGTCAATCCACTTTATGGCCTTCTTAATTCACCTCTCATATTCAAGTATACGTAAAGTTGGATAAATAACACCTTCTTCATTAATAAGATTTCCTGAGAGAGTGCCCAGTGTGTAGTAGGGGTTAGGAAGTGTTAGTCCCCTTCCATTCCCTCTCTTTTCTCTCACACACATAAAAAAGATAGACAAACCTCCTTGTACTCCTCCATTTCAGTAAACTCTACCAAAATAGGAGAATGGGGAGGGATTAGCAAGGAGTCGGGCTCACTAACCAGCCCAAGTGAGAAATGCCTGGTTATCTGGGTCAATAAAAAGTTGGGTGGCCTTGAGAAAGTCTTTATGTCTCATTTTCCTCATCTGTAAAATTGGAAGACTTATACTTGCATTATATGCCTTATAAGTATGATGCAGTGCTAAAATGTATTACTAGACTAAAGTATTCATAATTAAAATATGTTATGATCATATCAATATCAGTCATGATGACAGTGGTGCTGGTGGGGATGATGGGGATGATGATGATGCAGCTGCAAGTTTCCTCATGCTGCCATTTCTCAGAGAATGTTGAGGGTCACACCTATTGCCTGCAAAAGCCCTCAAGAGATCTTCATTTTTTGAACTTTAATAGGGCAGAGTGTTCAGTCTGATTTCACCATGAGTTCAAGAAACAACAGAATTCAAGTGCTGCCAGGAACCTCAGAAGTCACTAAGCCAGTTCTCTAGTCAGTGTAGGAGTCTCCTCTATGGCATCCCTGTTAGATGCATACTTGCTGCCCACCCCTTTCCAGACAAACACAGTTAGAAAACTCTTCCTTAAGTATCAGTAATGACGGTGATAACTATAGCCAATTCTTATAGTGGAGGATTATCTTATTCAATGTTTCCAACAGTGCTATGAAGTGTAGCCTATCATTTAGAATACTTTTGTGAGGAACTTGACCTTTAGAAAAATGGAATCTCTTGCCCAGGGTAGTAAGTAGAGAATTCAGGATTCAACCTCAGTTCTCCCCAAATCCAAATACCACACAGTTTCTGCACTATCCTGCCTCCATACTTCAAGTTAAATTGGAAGAGTTCTTTCCACCCATCTGTCTTAAGCCTTCCCTGTGGTGCAGAGCTAATCTCTTCTTCCACATTAAAACATGCAAAATATGCCTCATCCATGTTCCTTTCAAATCTGATATTCTCACTCAATGTGGAGACATTTTAAGGGGTGGGAGAAGTAGGGGGCATGTTCACACCTGCCTGTCCCAAGGAAGCAGGAAGGGGCAGCCTTTTTCAATACCATGGCCAGCTGCCTATGGCTCTAGGTTCCTTCCAGCACTTGCAGAGTTACATTTCAGAACTGAGAGGTCTTTAGAGATCTCAGAGCAGACTACATCAGAGCTGGGACCATAGGCAAAGCCTCTCCCTTCCTGGGCCTCAATTTCCATGTCTGTAAAATGAGGTGATAAGACCAAACAATCTCTAGGGCCCTTTCCAGAGCTAGTTCTATGAGTTTCCTGATGGCCAGATTCAGACCTTGTTGTGCAGCATCCATGCTCCCCTTCAGATGGAGTGATGAGACCTCCAGCCCAGTACCAGGTAAAACACATATGACCTTGTGCTACCACACCTCTGCACACCGCACATCACCACAACCATCCTCCACGTGTGCACCCCTCCCATCTAGGGAGGAAAAGCTGCAACACAGAAGTTGAGGAAAGCATTGCTCCATGATCAGGATAAGTCTCTTGGCATTGCCTAAGCATTATCTTACTGGACTTCCAGGGAAATTTGATTTTTTAAATATGATGTGGTAAGCTGGTAAGACACAGGACCCTACGAGCCTCTATCCCATCCCCCGGATATCACTAGAACTGACCATAGCTTTGGTTCCAACTTCTTTCAGCTCACAGGCTATGTCGGAAGAGCCCTGAGCCTTCCCTTGTCCCTAGCCAAGCCCCAAACCAAGTCAGGGTGGCATGTATCTCACCCACGCTTACTCACTGAGCACTAAAAACCAGGGACTGAAGAGCTGGGACGATTTGGTATCCCCTTCCTCCCCTTGACCAGACCTTGAGTAAACTGCTCAAAACCCACTTATCCATCTCACCCCACACCCCACTCCTCACTCCCCTCTAGTAGAAAGATCTGAACTTTGATGAGGCACTTAGTGAAAGCTTCAGTAAGGTGGTCTTGCTGTTGGAGGAGTAACTCTTTAGGGCTTGGGAATAGGCTCTGAGCCACAAATCACCTATTTCAATGGTCTCCTCTGAGGTTTCTTGAATGTCCTCCTCTTCTGCATCCAGGTCAATACGCTCCTCTTTGCTGTTACGCAGGCTCCAGCACAGGCGGTAGAGCTGTGGAGAAAGCAGAACAGGTTAGCAGAAAGATCCAAACAGTGTCTTGGGCCAAGAAGTTGAGAGAACAAAGAGATGTACATCAAGAAAGGAAAAGGAATGTGGCTCTCAATACCATCAAGAACACAGATAACAGTTCCCATCCACAGCACTATCTCTAAATATGTTGGGAATGTGGATATAAATCTTACACACGTGCACACCAGCCCCTATGCATGTGCATATTCAGAGGCTATGAGACTGCCTTGAACATAGAAATGTTTTGAATGAATGATCTCTTGTTACATATGATAAGTGAATTTGTTCCATTTAGCACTTGTGCTGGGAAACAAGGCTAGACACCCATTTATCTAGACCAGCAGTGTAAGATCAGGTTTTCTGTACTATATTATGGGGGGAGAATTGTAGACTCATAAGCCATTTAGAACAGGGAACAGCTGGAGGTGCAGTTTCTATTGACATAAAACCAGAAACTACTTTACTTCAAGAGGAAGCATGGAATTAAATGTGTTTGGGGCTACAATACTTTCAAAAACTGAGACATCAAGAAGCAATTAGTACAACGTAAAGTGAGCCTGTGACAGATTTGGCCACTAACCATGATGGCGGTTCTGCTGCTATAAAAGCAATATTTGTTTGATATTAAGGTTGGTCACAGTTTTGAAAATTTGGCAGTGAGACTGAAGGTCTCTCAGGGATTCCGTAAGCCCCTGTATTTGTCCACACACCAGAAAGGGATAAACAAAACCCTTTCTCTTTCTCTACAGACAAATGCGATCTTGGGTTAACTCTCTAGCTCTGCTCCTTGGAAAACTGAAAAGGATAGAATGTCACCTGTGCTGGGTTATCAGACTATATTGCTTATGGTAAAAATGACCCATAATTGGTAATCTTCATCTGCATTGGGAGGGCTGCGAACATACCCTAAACCAAGGGTGACATCTAGAGTTAAAGAAGAGTACTTGCAATTTTTAAAGTCTTGAATCAATTAGACTTTGATACTATTTGAAATTTCTTAAATTCTATGGGCAACTGTTTGGAGGCTTAATTGGGAAAAAATAAAGGGTAAATCATACTTCAGATTTCCCTCAACGTGGTGATTTTTATAACCAGGTATGTCCCTTGCTGGGACCCCTGGAAGCTATGACCAGGAGACTGTTACAAGAAATATGTGTTGCTATCTGGGACATAAGCATCCAAGCCAGGGTGACCCCTGTGCCTGCCCATGTGATCTCATTCCCTTGTACCGAGCTGTCACTTGGGGAGCAGGATCCAGAGAATAGCCTCTGGAGTGAAATGAGGCCTGCTGTGAGGACTCCTGCTGAAGACACACTCTTAACACTGCTCTACTGGGAAACCGTGTTTTCTGTCCTGTATCCTTCTACATGACACCAAAAGCAAGGATGGCCTATTTTAGTCATGTGAGTTGGTGACGTCTGATTGAGCCAAAGGCAACCAAGATGGGTGTTGCAGCATGAACATGAAACCAGGGCAGGACAGGTCTCCCAGATGGATACTCACATGCACATCTGGAATGGGCTTGGTGAAGAGGGAGACAGCCAGGATGATGATGAGAGAAATGACAAAGAGGATGATGGCAAAGTACAAGTAGTGTACACCACAGATAACTGTGGGACAGTTGCTGGGCTCCATGCAGCTCCCAGTTCCATAGGCAAACTCAGCAATCATACGGGACACCCCAATCACAAATCCAATGATCAGTCCCCAAAAGGCTCCCTGTGAAAGAAAAACCTGGGTTAAGAAACACTGTATACAGAAAACAGCTGCACATTCACTGTGGGGACAGAGGCAAAAGAATAACAGTGAGAGAAATGAGAGCTCCAGGCTGTCTAAAACGGAAACAGTGGAGTTCAGAATACGGTTAGGAATGTTACATCAGGCCTTCAGTCGTTGCGTTTACCACGTTTCAGTAATGTGATTTTATGTAAGTCATAAAACAAGGATTCACAAGATAATGGAGTAAAGTGTCTAATAACTGGTTAGAATAGCAACCTAAGGCCTTAATTCCAAAGGCCTTAATTCCCTTTAACTTTAAAAATAATTTGAATTTCTCTACCTGCAGCTACTTTTACCATCAGCCTCCAGATTTAGGCACATTCAGATGTACAGCAATTACTTGTGAAGTAATTTGTATTCCTTGAAGACATGGAAAAAGAAATTGGGTCTTTTGGGGACAGAGGAGAAAGGAATTTTCCATCACCCCCTTTTATAGATCCAAAGTCACTGTTTTTAATTTGAGAACATAAAATTATACTGTGTGTCTTTACATTAAATTTTGGGTTTACATATTAGAATTATGGAAAGCCCTTAAGAGACTAGTAACATTGGGGGACAATTTTTCAGGTTTTTAAAAAAAACCTTTCTTTCCTCCCTCCCTCCCTCTCTTCCTTCCTCCCTCCTTTCCTTCCTTTCTTCCTTCCTTCTTTCCTTCCTTTCAGTCAGTTCTCACCTAGAGGACAAGGTCTGAGTCTACAGGTCATATTTTAAGAGGACCAATGACAAAGCAGAGTGAGCACATAGAAGGGTGGCCAAAAGGAGCCTTCGTGATTTTGTCAAGTGTTGGTCTGAACAGCTCCTTTGCTAGCCATCTGTACCCCGACACTGTATATTACAGGTGTGCTAAATTACCAGCTATTCTTTAAACGTGTCGTGTATGTTCATGTCCTGTCTCTTTGCACAGGTCATTCTCTCTACCTAGGAGGGCACAGGTTCATCCCTTCCTGGGAATCTTGCCCTAGCTGGAAGGTCTCCTCTCCTTCTGCCTAGACAGAACTGGGTGGGTGCATCCTCCTTGCTGTGGCTGCAGCACTGTGGACCCACCTCCATACCAGCACCGACCACACTGCCGTGTAATCATGCATTCGCTCCTATCTCCCCATCTGAACTGGGAGCTTGCCCAGAGAAGGAACCAGGATTCATTCCCTGTGTGTTGCTAATGCCTAGCCCTATGCTGGCATCTGGAAGTGTCTGCTGGATGAATAAATGAATAAGGAAGAAGAAAAAGATGTTCCGTTTGTCCCTCATACACTTTTTCAGTAAAAAATTTATTTCTTAACTTTAGTTTGTGTGAATAGTATTGATAAAACTCGCTTAGGTTTTCCTTTTCTTTTGGCAATTAGTCTGCTCTTATTCCTTTAGTCTCTATTCTCAAAAGGCTCTTGAAAAATCTGGGGGACTTCCTTGGCGGTCCAGTGGGTAGGAATCCATGCTCCCAATGCAGGGGGCCTGGGTTCGATCCCTAGTGGGGGAACTAGATCCCACATGCATGCCGCAATTACAAGTTTGCGTGCCGCAACGAAGATCCCACGTGCTGCAACTAAAATGCAGCAACAGCCTAAATAAATTAATTAATTAAAAGTAAAAAAAAAAAAGTTAGTGTAGCTTAAAATTTATTTAAAAAAAAAAAAGAAAGAAAAATCTGGGATCCTTTGAAATTTTCCTCAAGACTTGGTCACCCCTCAGCAAACAGAGTGTGAGACGAGTCCTGAGAATCACTTTGCAGTCTCTGTGTGCTACTCTCCAGAGACTCTGGGCCAGGGCTTCTCACCCTCAGCACTGTGACATTTGGGCTGGATAATTTTTTGTTGGGGGAAGCGGGGTAGGAGGGTATCTTGTGCATTGTAGAATGTTGGTCTCTACCCACTAGGTACCAGTAACATTCTCCAAATCATAACAATCACAAGTGTTCCCAAATGGGAATTCCCTGGCCATGCAGTGGTTAGGATTCCATGCTCTCACTGCAGAGGGCCCTAGTTTGATCCCTGATCAGGGAACTTTAAAAATCCCACAAGCAGCACGGCGTGGCCAAGAAAAAAAATGTTCCAAAATAATGAAATAAGGGCTTCCCTGGTAGTCCAGTGGTTAAGAATCTGCCTGTCAATGCAGGGGACACGTGTTCAAGCCCTGGTCCGGGAAGATCCCACATGCCGCGGAGCAACTAAACCCGTGCGCCACAACTACTGAGCCTGCACTCTAAAGCCTGTGAGCCACAACTACTGAGCCTGCGAGCCACAACTACTGAAGCCCGCGTGCCTAGAGCCCATGCTCTGCAACAAGAGAAGCCACCACAATGAGAAACCTGTGCACCACAACAAAGAGTAGTCCCCACTCGCTGCAACTAGAGAAAACCCACGTGCAGCAATGAAGACCCAACACAGCCAAAAATAAATTAAATAAATAAATTTTTTAAAAAAATAATGAAATAAGAGAATGTTGCATTTATGATGTGAAAATTAGTCATCTCATTTCCTAATTAAAGAGATGAATTTAGTGCACCTTTAAAAGAAATGTTCCCAATACAGTAGTTATTGGGTGTTTACATACCCAGAAAGCACTCCCTTTAATAACTTGGAATACTTCTGAAGTTAGTTGAAGAGTGGTTGTAAATAACTGCCAAATGAAGGAGAACAATGCTAACAAAATGTGTTTATTCCTTTCAGAGTGTCATAGACATGGACATAAAGATATATAGCTATATCTCCTACCAAGGAAATCAAAATAGTAGGATAAACTGAACCTTTCCTTAAGGAATTTTGAAATGTAGGTAATAATCTGGATTTGGGGTATCAAAGCAATTTCTGTTTGACCAAAATTTTAAAATATGAAATGTAATTTTTAAATTTTCACAGATACAAAAAAAAATGTTCCAAGACATCACCAAATATCCCCTGGGAAAGGGAAAAATTACTCCCAGTTGAGAACCATGACAATCTATTCCAATTCTTAGCCTTACTTTTTTTAAAAATATTTATTTATTTATTTATTTGGCTGTGCTGGGTCTTAGTTGCGGCACGCGGGATCTAGTTCACTGACCAGGGGTCGAACCTGCGCCCCCTGCATTGGGAGCTTGGAGTCTTAACTGCTGGACCACCAGGGAAGTCCCTAGCCTTACTTTTTGAAAGCTCTGGTCCATTGCTGAACTGAGTCTGCTTGTGGCCCACTGCAATACCCAGCTGGGCTTCTAGCCACACTTTCCTTACCTGAATTTTAGAAATCTCCCAGTGAACCAGTTTCTGTCAATCCCTATTGAAACGTATTCCAAGATGTGTGCCAATTTCCCTAACTTGCCAAGATCACTTGCAGGTTTAATTCTGATCTCTCAAGGCCACTTATCCATGCACCCAGTTTTGTGTTCCCAGCAAATCTGGACTATGTTCCTAATGACAAGTGACAAAGGAAGAGAGACACGTGTTGTGATTCACACACCTCAACTCTGGGTCACTGCAGTGAAGTGTTTCCCTGATATATATCTGTCTCTGTCCTATTGAGAGAAAGGGGTTGTCTAACCAAAAATACATCACTGTTTATATTGTTTCAGACAGTCAGCTACATAGTCAACACCCATACCCCTTCCCAATCCTTCCCAGGCATAGAGATGGTTGGATACAGAGACACTGAGCAACATCCCAGTCAGAAGTCTAATCCAAAGGCATCCTTTTCGTGGTGCTTCAAAATCTGCAACGTTGCCCCACTGATGGCCCAAATTCTTCAGCCTGGCTTTCAAAGGGACCATGCCTAGTCTAACCTTAACCTGCCTTTCCAGCTGAGTCTTCCATTATCCACACACACAAACTCTCTCAACAGGTGAGATTCCTGACAGTCCCTCATCCCTATCCTGCTTGAGTATCACTACTTGGTCCTTCACTGGGCCCTGAAAAGTGCTGGCTGGAAAATCTAGCTCACTGCCGAACCAAGGAGGTAGCCTGTGCTAGAACTTCCTCTGGAGCTGCTCACCCAGGGGCTACAAACTTCCCAGGGAGTGCCATGCAGTTGGGTCAAAATCACCAAGAGTGGATGGAAAACATACATCATTAGTTGGGAATTAATTTGGAACCTGCAGCAAAGAGAAGAGGGAAGTCCGAGAGAATGTGAACCCAGGAGAGTCCCATGGTCCCTGGAGGCTTTTCCATATAAACCCTCAGCAGCACATTCATTCCTGCTTAAGATCTCTGGGAAATAGAATCCCTCCCAGAGAATATACAAATCCAGATGGGAATTTCTGTTCCAGAATGATTTTTCTAGACATGTATGATACCTACCTGCTCATTGACTCTCTTGCAGAAAATAGCAAGCAGGAAGACAGCTGCAATGGGTGGTCCCAAGTAACTGGTGATGGACTGGATGTAATCAAAGAGCTGCCCACTTTGTGCTGACTGCACAATGGGGACCCAGGCAATGCTGATGCCAATCAGCACCAGCATGAACAACCTGAAATCAAAGCCCCCACAATAGGGTGTCAATAAATGCCTCCACATGAATAAATATATATCACTGTATATATATATATGTGTGTGTGTGTGTGTGTGTGTGTGTCTGTATAACTAGCAAATATAGATGTACACATAAAAATAGATAGATAGATATAAAGTTTTATATGACCACAGCAAGGAAAAATAATTAGCAAATTCACTGAGACTCTTTTCTTCTGTATTCTGCTTCTTCAGGAAAATCTTCTTCACCTGTAAGTAAAATGCACTTGATTTTCAATAGTAAAGTAGACCCAGTAACCACCAGGAGAGAATCCCACTTTGAGAGGCAGTGGAGTATAGGAACAGAGGTATGGACCTTGGAGCCAGCTCTCCTTTTTTTTCCTTTGGCCACGCCACGTGGCTTGCAGATCTTAGTTCCCCAACCAGGGATTGAACCTGCGCCCTTGGCAGCGAGAGCACAGAGTCCTAACCACTGGACCAACGGGGAATTCTCTAGCTTTCCTCCTTTTGAGTTTCACTTCAAGTCCTGAACAGACTGGAGGGTTCCTTATAACGTCTGGATTTAAATAGAAGGAAGGCTGCGATTCTCTTATCTCTCCTACCTGAATTTAAGGCAAGAGTCTTAAGCTAACCTTTGCGGGGCAGTGTTTTCACTCACATATTTCTCCCTCTAAAATGCCCTTCCCACTGCCTCCCATTTACCCAACTCTTATCCACTATTTTGGATGCAGCTCCCCCAGGAGCTTTCCTCAGCTACTGCATGGTGCACTCATCTCTCCCTTCTCTGAGCCCTTGATTGCTCTTACAGGTGCCACAGCAAAGTCTGGAATTGTTTCATGTAACTGTAAGTTCATCTAGGACAGGGACAAACCCCTGGGCAGCAGTCATTGGATGCACAAAAAAAATATGAGCCCCAACATAATCTCAGGGCCAAGAGGTCCAGCCCTGAGCAAAGCAACAAAATGGTTTTCTTCCCATGTTGCATCTTGAGCCTTATAAATAGCAGAAAAACACCAGTAAACTTCTTTCTAAGGAAAACCCTGTCAGGGTAACCGTGCTGCTTCCAGTGAAGCAGAGTGGTGGACTCTGGCCCAGTGGTCAGACCTCCCCTGAGTGCCAGGTGTCTCATCTCCTGAAAGTGGCCTGCCATTTTCCTTTCCTTCCTTTGCCCTAATCTTGCTCATGAGATTTATGAGGTGGCAGCATTCCCTGGGAACCTTTCCCTTGACAGACATCCCAGGGACTTTTTCCACCTCCCCTGAGGAGGTTGGCCTGCCTTAGCCCCATGGAGAGACACAGCAGAGCTTCTGCTAATCCTCTATCCAGAGCATCTGCTCCATGATAATCGGGATAATGGGCACACCTCACCCACGGATTAATGCTTACTGCATTCAGTATCCTGTTGTGCCCATTACAAGCGCGCACATAGCCTGGTATTTTAGACTTTACAAAGCATGTTCACAAGCATAATATCACCAAATCCTCACAATGGTCCTGAAAAATGTTACAGCAAAGGGTCAAGGTACTGGAGGCACCTGGGCCTAAAAGAAGCCCAGTGAGGAGAGCTGCAGTGTGGAGGGCTGAGAAAGAAAGCGTGGGACAGCATAAAGGGCCTTGGACAAGGACTCAGTTGGCCATGGGTTCCAGTCCTGCCTCTGCTTCCTGATTTGGGCAGGACAAGCCTCATCTTGTTTATTGATAAACTGAGGTTAGATTAAATGATCTCTGATGTCATTTCCTGCTTCAGAAGGACATTGTTTGATGATCTCTAATTTAAAGTTAAATGCCACTGAAAGCAAATATAACTTGCCACAGAGGTTACTCCCATTCTACCCAGCATGTACCAATCTTCCCCAGCTTGAGGGAAACTCTCTGATCATTCAAGCTTTCTATGGTGCATGACAGGGGGAGCTGAACTTACCTTCCTGCAATCATGAGCTCTTTCTCAGATGCTCTCTTCCGGATCTTGGTGTAGATGTCCATAGTGAAGAGGGTGCTGGCGCTGTTGAAGATGGAGGTCAGGGAGCTCATGAGAGAGGCCAACATGACTGACAGCATCAGGCCTCGAAGTCCTGAAAGAAAGGGAGGTTCTGAGTGGTACATGGAGAACCTCAGCTCTTTTGTGCTTGGAAAGTGTGAAGACTTAGAAAGTTTTTTGGCTTCTTACACCACACCATATTCTCTGATTTATCTCTCCAGAAAAATTAGAACTTTAAGGAATGGACTGTAGCTTAAAAATACATTGTAAGCCCACAGCAGTCAACAAAGAGCTAGGGACAAAATACACATGAGGTAAATGCTTTGCAGTTGGGTGATTGATGGTGGTGGCGGTGATGGTGGTGGTGGTGATGGTGGTGTGTGTGTGTGTGTGTGTGTGTGTGTGTGTGTACGTGTTTCCATCTGAGCAGACTTTTACAAGGTCTCTCACTCAAAAGATTAATGATAATGAAGAAATAGTTAAACTAGGATTCAAAAGACAAGGTTTCAAGAAAGTGAAAAGACAGCCCATAGAATGGGAGAAAATATTTGCATATATCTAATAAGGGTCTATTATACAGAATATATAAAAAATTCCTACAACTGTATAATAAAAAGACAAATAACCTAATTTAAAATGGGCAAAGGACCTACATAGACACTTTTCCAAAGAAGATAAAGTGGCTAATAATCACATGAAAAGTTGTTAAGCATCAGGGAAATTCAAATCAAAATCACAATAAAATACTTCTTTGCACCCCCTGGAGGGGCTATAATTTTTAAAAAGACAGATAATAACAAGCATGGGTAATGATGTGGAGAAATAGGAACCTCATACATTGCTGGCAGTAATGTAAAATGGTACCACCACTGTGGTAAATATTTACTCAAATAGTTAAACATAGAGTTAACATATGACCCAACAATTCCACTCTTAGGCATCTACCCAAGAGAAATAAAAACATAGGTTTGTACAAAAACCTGTACATGGGTGTTCATAACAGTATTATTTATAATAGCCAAAAAGCAGAAACAACACAGGGTCCATCAACTGATAAATGGATAAACAAAATGTGGTATATCCATCCAGTGGAATATCATTTTTAAAAAAGGAATGAAATACTAGTACATGCCTACAACATGGATGAACCTTGAAAACATTATGCTAAGTGAAAGAAGCCAGACACAAAAGGACAAATATTGTATGATTCCATTTATATGAAATGTCCAGACTAAGCAAATCCATAGAGACAAAAAGTGGATTCGTGGTTGCCTAGGGCTGTGGGGTGGCTAGGATGAAACATAGAGTGATTGCTAACGGGTACGAGATTTCTTTGGGGCGTGACGAAAATTGTCTAAAATTGACTGTGGTGATAGTTTCACATCTCTGTGAAATACTAACCAAGGAGAGCACGAGGTTGTCCCTACTGAGGCTAGGAGGCCAGGCCATGCTGAGGGCCCACTATTGAGCGTACAATCCCAGAAGTAAAGGTAACCTTAGAGGTCACCTAGGCCTACCACCCATCTGATACACAAATCCTTTCCACAACTTTTCTTCTGCCTAAACCCTGCAGCAACAGGAGTCTGCTCCCTCTTGGACAGTCCTAACTAGGCAGATATCTGCCTGTTGATAGCCTCAGCCACCCATCAGAAGCGGTATTACTCTTCATCCACTTTTCCATCTTTCACATATTCAAAGACAACTCATATTCTCTTGAACTCTCTCTTCTCCAAGCTAAACATCTTCAGTTTCTTGTACTATCCCTGTATAATAGAACTTGACATATATCTCTACTAAACTTCAGCTGGTTAGCTTTGAGTCAACATTCCTGCTTCTTGAGATCTTTTTGGAACATTGTTCTGTCACCTTCTAGGTATTGTATCTGTAAATAAATAGCTGTGTTTTCAACTACAGCCTCACAAGAAGAAAAATAAAGGTTGCCTATTCTGATTATTTTGCCATTTGTTGGGACATTTTTTTTAATGGTCCCACTTGAGTGTCTATCATGTAGACTACAGACTATTGGAGCTATAGTAGGAGTTATAAAGACCATCTCATCCAACTGTCTCATTTTTCAATTAATAAAACAAAGATCCATTTCAAGGAGTTAGTAGGTAGGGCTTCAAGTCTTAGTTCTGCCATTTGCTCGGAGTTACTTTACCAGTTAATTGCTCAGCTGGGATAGAGTTTTCTTCCCTCTGTATGATACTATTCTCAGACTCACGTTCATTTATTCACACAACAAATATTTGTTTAACATAATTTTAGAGCAGTCCAGGCAACAAGTAACGGTATACCAGAGTAGAGTGATGGAGATAACAAGAGAAGGAGGTAGATGAATATAAGAGATACTTAGGAGGTAAAATGGACAGAATTTGGTGATGGATTGGTGGGGGAATATTTACTAGCTGAGTGAAGGAGGCTGAATCTGTAAATGAGACAAAAAGGAACAGCTGGAAAGGATGGGGGCGGGGGGCGGGGGGGGAAGACAAACAGAAGAGGATAGTGTTATGGAATCCAAGAGAAGGGAATAACTCAAAAAAGATGAGTGATCAATAATGCTGAATGCTACTGAGGGACCAATGGAAAATATCTGTTTGATCTAGCATGGAGAGGTCATTGGGGAATCTGGTGTTTACAGAAGCCAGATTCCAGCCAAAAGTGAGGAACAACAATGGTACATGCAAAAGCAGCATTTTGGTGTCCTATGTGCCACACAGCTTTCTGTCATGCACAATCCACTCTAGCACGGTATTCAGAGCTACAGTCCTCACCCAGGATCTGCCAGTCTAAGGAAATAGCATAAACACGCCATAGAGGCCAGAATCCCAGCCAGAACTCTAAAAGAGCCATGATTCTTGTTAATTGCAACCTTAATTAATAAGCAACCCAGCTCAGTGGAATAGTTAACTATTACTCCCATTTTTACAGAAGTTGAATGCAAAGCGTTTGCCCAAGGTCATCTATCCAGTCTGTGGTTTAAAAAAAAAAATCCAAATTCCTAAATTCTAGTCTTCAGCTGAGTTAACCATGCCAGACGCTGAGTTACTGTGTGGCCTTGGAAAAGTCACTTTCTCTCTGTAGGCCTCAATTTCCCCAACTGTAAAATGAACAGGTTTGACTAGATGATCTCCATGTTTCCTTTCAGTAATAAAATTTTATGTTTATTCTAAATTTTCCTGATCAATACCTTTGAATTTTTTGTCTCCTGGGACCCCTAACCTAATGAGATTTCCATCCCTTAAGCCAGAATTAGATTTTTCTTCAACATGAAGATGAACAGTAACCATACAGGTCTATCCCAAAACTAACTATTCTGGACTCTAAGTATTCACTTTCTTAGGACACCACATTCTGTATAATGAGAAACCCCCTTGTATCCAATCTACCTACTGCCTTGAACTTCCTCATTCTAGAGCTAAAATTGCTCTTTGCCTTTCTCTCCATGTTTTTCTTTGGAACAGCTTGGAAGTCAATTCATTCTCCAGGTAAAACTCCATTTAGTTCAAGCCTCATGTTAATGTCTGTTGGAGAGCATCGAAAGACTTTCTAGGTGAGCATGAAAAAGTCGTGTTTTTCCCTAACATGTTTTCAGATTATCTCCTTTCCATGCCTGACTGATGGACAAGTGCCAGGACTCATGGAGCCCAACCAAGCCAGATGTCTCCTCCCTACTAAGGCAAGACCTGCTCAAAAACTGAGGATGCCCGGAATGAGGCTTTCCCTACTAGCACCCCAGGCTCAGAAACGGCTTTGCCCCAGAAGGCCCACAGACCACTACGTAGATAGAGCCCAAGCCCAATCAGCCTCCCAAGAAAGACCCTGCCAGCAGGGACAACTCTCACCATTGGGCATGAGCTCCACCACCAAGGTCGGGTAGGCCATGTTGGTACAGCCAACCTTGGTGCCGCAATATTTCTCACACTCCGAGGGGACAGTGCAGGCAATTTTTTCTGAGGAGAGATGAAAAGTCATGTCAGCAAGCAGACATCCGGGAACTATTTCCAAGATTCACCTTCTTAAGACAGGGCTTCAAATAGGACGTTCCTGCCCATGGCCCTGAAATGGTTCCACAAAGAGCACAGCTCCCACTAAGCCCTTCCATGCCATCCCCCTGCCCTGCTGGCCCTGACCATTCCCAAGCTCTGCCTGGGGAGGAAAGACAGTTCCTAGGCAGATGAGGGAGAAGCAAAGAAATGCTTACGTAGGAAAGGAGAGGGCATGGTCCTCAGACTTTAGCTAGCTACTCTGCTCAGCATTGACTGTGTTCTTGTTTCTCCTGAAGATCACAGTGACTTGCAGTTCCTAATTTTGAGGTTTGTTTTCAACAGCTCTTGCAAGTAGGGTTGAACATCTAGACAACTAAGGGAATTCCCCAGTGGGAGGAATGTGGGGTAGAACTTCCCAGATGTGGAAAATCTGGGCTAGAAATAGAGAGGCAGTAACCTGGGAGGGGAAGGGGACATGATCTAGAGACATGGAGGAAGTTCTAAAAACTTCTATAGAATTCAGATCTACATGCATTTATTAGGTACCTACTACAGGTAGGTCATTTAGTGCTGCCCCATATAGTACCGAATCATCACAGCACCACCTCAAATATTTGTCTGTGTGTTATATCCATTATACTTTAAAATCTTCAGTTAGATATATTTTTCTCATGACAGGTGAGCCAGTATAGGAGGGTGAAAGCACTATTAGGAGCATGTAGCCAACGGCAACAAGTGCCCCCAGACTGTCTTGTCTTCATTTTGGAAGGTGCTTATCAAACTTTCACTCTGTGGTGCTCTCTTTTTGCCATTATTTTATATTCCAGGAAACAGTTTGGACCTATGATGGCTGACCGAAAAACACAAGCAAACGGAAGTGTAGGAGAGGCCACAAACAGGCCAGGGAAGAATCTAACACCCTGGATAGCAAAGTGCAGGGCTCGGGGCCCCTTCACAGAAATGGTCCAGGAAACAGGGCAGCAGGCAGTTAGAGACTGGCTGCGGTCCTTTGACATTAAGGGCATCATACACACTACTATAGCCTGGGGGTTGGGGAGAAGACAGAGCAAAAAATAAGTAAATATTAGCTAGAAGAAGCTATAGTTGGAGGCATGTCATGACTTTAGAGAATTTGCAAAAGGGGAAAAATAATTGCCAATGTAAAGAACCAGGGAACACAACTCCACACATTCTGTGGCCTCAAGTTGCTCGCTGTCTGGGGCAGGGGGATACAATAATGCTTCGTAATCTTGGCAAGAAAAGAAGAGGGCAGAAAAAAAGAAACAGGGATCTACAGGACTTTAGAAGTGACTTGGAGCCAGGAAAATGGAAGAGAGAGGCCAGCAAGTCCAGCAGAAGGCATCACCTGTGTATAGGATGCGGCTGATCATCCCTGGCATCACCATGAGGAACATGGGCAGCAGCTTCAGGTACCCACACATGATGCAGCCAGCCTTCACGTGTGACATGTTTTTGGCCGAGAGGCACCGCTGCACAATGACCTGCCAGGGAAAGCCCAGTGAGGGAGGGGTGTAGGCAAGAGACCCCGCAACAGGCTCTAACCACCCCAGCTTCCCCCACCATCCCGGGTCTTTGGCCTGGCACTCCGATGTCACCGAGGCTCAGCACCCCTCAGACCACATGAGCCCTGCCCTACCTTTCCCAGCCCCACAAGCCACAGGCAGACAGGAGTCTCTGTAGCACCCTAGGGAAGACCCTCTCCTCCCCACACATCCAGCATGGGTACCTGATCTGTGCACCAGTACCACAGGGCGAGGATGGACAACCCAAAGATGAGCCCAGGCCATGGCAGGTCTCCCTTGAGAGGATCTCGGAAGATGTGGAAGGAGTCAGCCCTTGGGGTGTAGCATTCTTTCCTGATGGTGGTGTTTCCATCAGAAACCACAGTTGGAATGGCATTCATGTATTTCGTCATGAAGGCATCATACCCTCCCACTTCGTGAAAAGCTGGAAAACAGTGGTAACATAAGTCAACATTATGAAACTCTCAACTCTTCATAGCAGTTTCTTCCTGTGGATGCCTGAGAAACCCACAGCCAGAGCCCTCACTGTGGGGTCTTGGGCAAGTCATTGTCCCATTCTGGGCTTCAGCTTTCTCATCCATAGAATGGGATTATTAACCCTGCCCAGCCCCCTCAGGGGGCTACTGTGAGGGTCCAAAGCAACAACCTGTGAAAGTACTCCAACCATAAACTTCTTTACAAAGGGAAAGTATTTGAATTATTAAAAGAAAGACCTTGCTTTTGAACCAGATTCAAAGACTCTGTTTTTCCCCTCACCCCCTGCTATCAGCAGTGGCCTTTGGGATTCTGGACACAGACACAGGCTAGGCCCCCAGTCCCAGCAGTGTGGTGGGATGGGAGAGAATGGGTGAGGAAGTCTGGAGCCCTGCCACCTCTTGGCTGTGGGAATAAGGCATTCCAGACCCTGTGCTGCAGAATAAGGCATTCCTTTCCTCTGCTCCAGACCCCTGAGGACCACCGGGGAAAATCAAATGGAAGGTCTTGGAAAACATAGCATAGAGAGAGGATAAGAAGCTTCAGAGGACACACAGAGAGCATAGGCCCCCTTAAAAATAAAATGGCATTTTATGTCCTCCCATAACAAGTACCTCTATTTGTAGGGTTTCCAGTCTTGTCCTTAGGATTTCATAAACAAATAAAATTTCAAAACCGAGAGGATGGGGATTACAGAGTGGCTGATTTTTTTTTTTAACATCTTTTTTGGAGTATAATTGCTTTACAATGTTTTGTTAGTTTCTGCATATAACAAAGTGAATCAGCTATATGTATACATATATCCCCATATCCCCTCCCTCTTGAGCCTCCCTCCCACCCTCTCCATCTCACCCCTCTAGGTGGTCACAAAGCACCCAGCTGATCTCCCTGTGCTATGCAGCTGCTTCCCACTAGCTATCTATTTTACATTTGGTAGTGTATATATGTCCATGCCACTCTCTCACTTCGTACCAGCTTCCCCTACCCCCACCCCCACAGTCTTCTCAAGTTCATTCTCTAAATCGGTGTCTTTATTCCTGTCCTGCCCCTAGGTTCATCAGAGCCATTTTTTTTTATTCCATATATATGTGTTAGCATACAGTATTTGTTTTTCTCTTTCTGACTTACTTTGTGGCTGATCTTTTAAATTTTACCAAATCAGGAAATAAATAAGAAAATGGTCAATTCATAAAAGACATTTAACATCAAAATGTAGATGACATAATCTGAGATTTAAGATGCAACATTTAAATATATTTAGCCTAATAGATATTTAGCCTTATCCTTTTTTAGTCCAGTTTCTCTGTGGAGAGAAGACCTCTCGTGACACCAGCGGCCCACACTGGGGCCCACTGGCCCAGACTGTCTAGAGAGGGCAGCAAGGAATCCAGGTATTGTCTGGGCCGGGCCCAGCCTGAAACCTCCAGGGCTAGGGAAGGTGTCCCTTGCACACCCACAGTGACTGCCAATCTAGGCCAGTCTACTCCCCTGGGGAGAGCAGAGCATACCAAGCTCACTGTCTAGGACAGCAGCAGACAGGGAGGCTGGACTCGTTTTTTCTCCCTGGGCCTCTAACTGTGCCCCCCCACCTCCTCAGCCTGCCCCAGCCCCACTTACCAAACCCAGTCAGGATAAAAGACCCCACCAGCATGATCACCGTCTGCAAGGTGTCCGTGTAAATCACAGCCGCCAGGCCCCCTGAGCAAGCAAAGGAGACAAGGCATCTAACCTCAGGTAGGAGGGCAACCTGTCAGCCCACCTCTTTTCCCCACCCTCACCCCCACCTGCACTCCTCTCCCTCTGCACACCTTCTGCACCCCTCAGTCTGCCTTCCTTTCCTTCCCTCCCTTTTCCTGTTACAGAGGTCTGCCACCCAGCATGTTCCAGTATCTCCACTTTTCACAGAAATGCTGGAAAGGCCTTGGAGAGAGGATGTTTCTCCCTATTTGAGGACGGAGAGCTTGATGTGACCACTTTAAGCCAGGAAATGGCTATGGTGAGAAGCATCTGCGCAAACAAAGGCAGGGAAGAGCAAAGAGCTGACATCTCGACAAGATGTCTGGGGACATAACCAAATCAGTCCACTCTCTCTTCTCTCAGGCCATCTGAGTAACTTCTTATCCCCAGCGCCATGGGGCTCCAGCTGGGCAGCAAGCTCCATCGCTGGCCCTGGCTCCCCTAACTGGGCAGAGCAACCTCTGCAAAGGTGCCCCATGGTGACTAGTGCCGCCGGCTTCTCCAGTCACCTCTGGAGCCTTCCTCTAAGGTCTCTGTGTGTCACTCCCTCCCTTCCTCCCTACAGTGCCTCCCAGTCCCTGTCACATCAAATCCAAGGCCTCTGTCTGGCTTCCAAGGCCCCCGCACTATGACCCCACTTGAACTATCAGGTCTTAGCATCCTCTACACCCCCCACGCTCAGCTACCTCCCATTGATGCCCCTCCTCCAGCTGAACTCATCTGCTTGCTCACCCTGCCCCGGCACTGCCACTCCCATTCCTGACTCCATTCCCTTGCTCCCACCTCTCCCCGAGCCTGGCACTCCCTCCCTGCTTCTCCCGACTCAGCCAAGTTCTCTCCACAACCTGCAAAGCCAAACCCTGTCCCACCTCCTGTAAGAAGCTGTCCTGACTGTTCCCACCAGCACTGGATTTTTCTGGGGCCACCTACAACTGTTTCCTTGAACTGTTTCCTGGGTGGATCTCTTCCTTGAGAGGAGAAGCCACGTCTTCACAAGTGCCTAACCCCAAGCTGGGCTTGGGCTGAGTCATTCGAGGGGACTTACCTGTGATTGTGTAAAGGGCAGTGATTACCAGTAAGATAAAGATGGCCAGGTACAGATTCAGGCCCAAGGCCAGGTTGATGAATATGGCCCCAGAGAAGATGTCTGCCTGGAAGGAGAGAAGAGGTGGGGTTGGGGAGAGAGGGGCCACTGGCTGCAGGGTGCACAGGGCCTGGCTGAGGCACGTCAGCGGCAGGGACAAGGGAGGAGAACTTGGAGGGGTTAGCAGAAGCCGACTCCCAAGTAGTGCCGATGCCTGTGATTTCCGAGGCCCCACGTTGGCCCACACCCCTTTGCCCTTTGGCTGAACTCCCACAATTAGAGGTTCATATTTTTATCCCCAGTTGAGAATATGAAAGACAAGTAGTGTACAGTTCCATGTATACAAGGTTTCTAAAATAGTCAAACTCATAAAATCTGAGACTGGAATGGCTGTTACCAGGGGCTGGAGGAAGGGGGAGTTATTAATCAACAGGTATAATGCTTCAGTTAAGTAAGATGAATAAGCTCTAAAGATCTGCCATACAACATCGTACCTAGTCAACAATATGTATTATACACTCAAAACCTGTCAAGTGGCTAGAGGGCAAGCTAAGTGTTCTTACCTCAATAAAATAAAAATAAAAACAAAAGGAGGACTTTCCTGGTGGCACAGTGGTTAAGAATCTGCCTGCCAATGCATGGGACACAAGTTCGAGCCCTGGTCCAGGAAGATCCCACATGCTGCAGAGCAACTAAGCCCGTGCACTACAACTACTGAGCCTGCGCTCTAGAGCCCATGTGCCACAAATACTGAAGCCCGCGCACCTAGAGCCCGCGCTCCGCAACAAGAGAAGCCACTGCTATGAGAAGCCTGCGCACCACAACGAAGAGTGGCCCCCTCAAACCGCAACTAGAGAAAGCCCGTGCGCAGCAACAAAGACCCAACACAGCCAAGAATAAATTAATTAATTAATTTTTAAAAAAATGATATGAACACCTAAGAGTCATGCTCTATTCCTAAATTTCCCAACAAGATTTATTCAAGATGATAATAGATATTACATGATTAAAAAAAAAGAATTCCATAGTCAAAGAGGTCTGTGAAATACTGGATTAAATAAAGTTAAAGCAGTTTCTTTACCACACAACTTCTCTGAGCCTCTAATATACTGTGAATCCCCAGGAGGAAAACATAGTAAATGACCCTTCACAAACTTATATAACTATGGAACTCTGTTTGCCAAGGAACAACTATTAACACCTTGAGGTTCCTCCCAACCCACTTTGTAGACTGCTGCTCTAAGCTATTATCCTTCATTTACACCTCAGTTTAAAAGGTTTATCTGATCTATTCCCAAAAGCAAGTTTGAGTGCTGGAGTCCATGAGAGGGAAACCCCGCCTCACCCTGGAGTGGAAAGAGATGTTAGCAACATCATAATTTTATCTCCTCTGCACAGATGGGATCCATCTTGACTCAGACACAACCACAGCATCACCACGAACCTCTTGTGTGGCAGGCTTGTTGATAGGTAGTTTTATCTAGATTATCTCATGTAAATTTAGGGAGAATTGCTCCCTCTTCACCCCCCAATTCACCAGTTCTTGATGCAGTTCTTTTTCTCCCTGCCTCATTTAGCTCCATAAAGAACCTTCTACTTGGCTGGATGGATATATGGCTATACACACATTATGTAGTAAAAATATTAAAAAATAGACCAGAAGAATACATACCAGGTTCAAGATAGTGTTTACCTTTTAAGAAGGAAGGAAATAGGGTCAAAAGGGTATAGATAAGCCTTATCTGTTATGTTTTATTTCTTTTTTTAAAAAGTGATAAGCTGTTTAGATCTACAGAATCCTGGTGGTGGTATTAGTATAGTACTTTACTGTATGTTTGAAGCATTTCATTACTTTTTTATTTATAAAAATCAGGGACTGGATAGGGAATATACCACCAGCTTTGATATAAAAGAACTCTCCTCTAATCCTATGAGATCATTTATTTCACAGCTCATCTCAGATTGCTCCTTCTCTAAACTACTCTTACCTCTTAATAAAGAAGAAAAAAAGGAAAGAAGGAAGGAAAGAAGGGAGGGAGGGAGGGAATAAGGGAACAAGCAAATTTCCCCAGTGCTGCTAAGCAAAACTAACTTGAAGTGAACTAAACAATTATGGTCCTCTAGACCAGGGGTCAGCAAACTTTTTCTGTAAAGGCTCACTTCATACATGCTTTAGGCTTTGCAGGCCATACAGTTTCTTTCCAACCTGCTCAAGACTGCCTGCCGTTGAAGCTTGAAAGCAGCCGTAGATGATACATCAATTAATGGGCATGACTGTGTTCCAATAAAACTTTATTTACAGAAACAGGAAGTTGGATTTAGCCCACCACTTTGAAAGTCTGGCTGAACAAGCTCCATGGAACTCACAGGGGACAATAAATACAGCTCCAGTCGGAAAACCTCTTAGAGTAACAGTCTCTGACCATAAGCCTTGGGTAGTTTGTTTAGTCTCAGCTCTGATGTTTGAAATCCCAGGATTTTACACGTGTTCATTTGCTGCCCATTCTAGTCCTAGTTGTATCTGAGCACCCAGTAGATCTTGCCTGGCAACGAGGTTTGAGATGGAGAGCCCCATTACTCAAATTTCTCTTTCCATTTGTGAGTGAATGAACCAGGTGATAAGCATTCAAAACTTAAGCAAGCTCCAAAGCTCTTATTTTCACCCAAGGATCCAAAACAGATAGCATAGTTGCTATAAAAGTTTATTACAGTTGTGATCTGTGATAATAGCCCCAGGAAATATAAATAGGGACATTTTGGTCATCACATGTAATTCATAAAATCTGAGGCTTTACCTCAAGTGATTGTGCACATTTGAATAAGACAGATAATGCCAGGAAATTTTACAGAACAGAATGCTTCTCTGAACTTGGTAAGGCAGGGTGCTGGGGTGGAGTGGGTGGGCGGGAAGGAGCCTATAAAATTCAGGATTACATGGAGGAATAATCAAGTCTGGGTGGAATAATCAAGTCTGGGTCTCAGAAACCAAAAGGACATAGCCACAAGATGGCAACCATAGTCAAGACTCCACACCACCCCTGTTCAATGGCCTGGGCCACATCTGGGACTCTCCACCTGAAATGCATTTCACTTTTTCTCTCCTATCAATTACACGCCCACTGGATCCCTGCATCCTCCCAAAGCCTTCCTGGTAGGTCCCTGATTGTTCCCTGTCTGGACATGGATATCACAAGGCCACTCCTCTCTTCTTACCCATGCCTACACACACACACAACAATAGTGATTAATCTCTATTTGTGTGCAATGTAAATACTTGATTACCTTACTTTGTTAACTAACAATTCTTTCCCTTTGTTCATAAGCCCTGAACTCGTGTATCTTAATGTGAGCTCCTAGCAAGTACAGTCAATATCAGTGTAATCCTTTTAAAGATTTCATGCTCTGTGACCCATGGTGAACCTGAAGTCAGCCAAATTTACAAAGTCTTGCCTGTCTGACCCTTCCCTGTCCTTCCCCACTGCCTAGATGCCCCACCTGCAGATCCCTTATACACCCGGTGTGCAGCTGATGTTCTCCCTTTACAGTCCTCTCAAATCCTACTCTCAGAAACTCATTTAAATTGGAAGGTCACTTAACTGGCTATTTAAATTTTCCCCAAGGTCTTGAATTTTGACTTGTTTGTACTGGACTTAGAAGGCCGGGGGACATAATGTCAAAAGCTTTCGATTCAGTATCAGGGACTCTGCTTCTCAATCTAGTTCTGCTACTGTTTGACCCCACAAAGCCCCTTCTCTTCTCTGTAAAATGAGAGCATAGATCATAGAACTAGATGATCTATCCTGTTATCCTATGCCTTCATCCCATCCAAGCACAGAGCAGAATTGTGAGAACACAGACACTGGGACTAGAGAGACCCAGACTCCAGTCCTGGCTTTGCAATACACTAGCTATGTGATTTGGGACAAATTACTTAACTTCTCTGAGACTCAGTTTTCTCCTCCATCAAGTGGAAAATTAAATAAAAATCCCCACCTGCACAGAACTCTTATGAGGACTGGAGATGGAATAAGTTAAGCCCCTACTGGAGACTAAGTAAAGCTATTGGCACCAAATAAAAGGCAGCTATCATCCTTCGTGTGCATTATTCAAGGGATTGCTGGCTCTGGGCAGCAGGTGGAGCTGGTAGGACATTGGGCAAGGCCTCCAGTAAGGAACCGCAGAAATCACACAGAAAGGGGGCAGACCATACTAAGTACTGTTCAAAAGTAAAATTCAGAAAAAGCCATCTGCTGGGGGATGGACTCCATCAGGGTCTGAGCTGAGGGAGGCTGCCCCTCAGGTACCTGGGGGTTCCCAAGTCCAGGGAGGTTTAATCAGTAACCTGAACAATAGGTGAGGTAATTGGGAAGGCAGGCAAAGACATTGAGCAGTAAGATTATTTTTATGACTACTGCTACATCAGCTCCAAGGGCAAAGCTCAGCCAACAGACTTTCACTGACCTGAACTGTGGACTTGGAGAAGGCGTGCTTCCAAGAAAGGGAATCCCAGTGCCCTCCTCTACATGCTTAGTAGACAGGTGCTATCTCACAAGCTGAACCAAGGAGCAAGGAGCAGTTTCCTCACCAACCTCCACTAGTGCCAGGGTCACCTCCCCACCCTCCCACTTACATTCCTTTTCTCCTCTTGCACCTGACCTTCCCTCCCTCAGGAAGCCCAATTTCTCTACCCCTCCCAGCAACTCCCAGTCCAGGCTATGCACACCAGTCTCCAAGGAAATAAGACTGAAATGCCCAGGGTTTTCATCTTGTAATTAAAAACTACCCTGAAGGAAAGGAGGAGAAAGTGAAGGAGGTGGAATCACCAAATAGGCAGGGAAAGCGCACAGGCACCAGTCAAGGGCAGTAGCACCTTATGTCAGGAAGCTGGGCAGGGAGGGAGCAGTAAGGCTGGGTGTCAGTCCCAACTCCAAGACAAAGCCCAATCCCGGAGCACATGTTCCCACTGAGACCATTCAGTGGGGACATGAAAGTCTCTTCAACAAATGGTTCTGGGAGAACTGGACTTTACTTCACATCATATACAAAAATCACTCAAAATGGATCAAATATCTGAATGTAAGAGCTAAGACTATAAAACTCTTAGGAACAAACCTAGCATTCAATCTTCATGATCTTGGATTTGGCAATGGATTCTTAGGAATGACACCAAAAGCATGAGCAACAAAAGAAAAAACAGATAAATCAGACTTCATCAAGATTTAAAACTTTTGTGCATCAAAGGACACAAAAGAAAGCGAAAAGACAACCTACAGAATGGGAGAATATTTGCAAATCATGTATCAGATAAGGGTCTAGTATTCAGAATATATAAAGAACACTTTCAACTCAACATCAAAAAAGACAACCCAGTCAAAAAAAAAAGTGTATGCATGTAGAAATTAATAACATAAAAGTGAAAAATTATTGTGGTAGGCTGAAGATATATATATACATTTCCTCTAAAGAAGCAATAGTCAAATGCAATGTGTAGATTTCATTTGAATCCTGATTCAAACAAATCAACTGTAAGAAGACATTTTTCAGATAATCAGGAAAATCTGGATATGGACCAGGTATTAAACTACTTAAATTAAGAAATTACTATAAATTTTGTTAAGCATGATAATAGCACAATGGTTAAGTTCTTTAAAAGTTAAAGGTGCATTCAGAAGAATTTACAGTGAAATGACATGATGTCTGGGATTTGACTTAAAATACTGTTGGAGAAAAAAGGTGGAAGGGGAGAGATGAACCAAGAATGGCAAAATATTGTTCATTGTGAAAGCCAAGTGATGAGAATTTGGTCCATTAGTACTCATTATACTATTCTATCTCTGCTTGTGTACGTTTGAAATTTTCCAAAATTAAAAAAATTGAAAATGTTATCTAATATTGTTGTTTTCTCACTTTTAAATAATCAGGGCAATAAAAGCACGAGCTGCTATTTTTTCATTACCCTACCTAACTAGAAGAGAAGGCTCAGTTCAGATCCAACTGACTCAGATTTCAGCCAGGGCAGATATTTTACAAGTGCTGAGATTGGTCCAATCTCACCTTTAGTGCTAGATGAGGAAGAACAAGAAAAAAGAGGAAAATTGACGATAGTCAATGAGATAACCCCTCTGATAGAGCAGTGAGTACTTTGTAACTGCTGGCTAAGGGGGAAAGCTGGAACCACTTCCTATGTGAGCACAGAAAATGCCATTTCTCTCTCTGCCCTTGGATTTGGCAATGGATTCTTAGAAATGACACCAAAAGCATGAACAACAAAAGGAAAAAACAGATAAACTAGACTCTATCAAGATTTAAAACTTTTATTCATCAAAGGGCACTACCAAGAAAGTGAAAAGACAACCTAAAGAATGGAGAAAATATTTGCAAATCATATATCTGATAAGGGCCTAGTATCCAGAATATATAGCCTTCTTCTCTAGCTAGGTTAGGGTGCTGAAGCAATCCAGGGAGCTTCTTACGGGGAGCGTCGATGGTTCTCATGTTCATCATCATCATAACCTACATCCCCAAAACGCTTCATGTTTTCAAGAAAATCCATTTGATCCTCAATACCACCCAGGGAGGTAAGCAAGGCAGAATTTTTATCCCCATCCTACTCACAAAGAAGCTAAGCTCCAGAGAAGTAAAGCAATATGCTACTGGCCCCAGGTCACTGCTGGCGAGCAGTAGAGCAGAAGCCCAGCTCTTCCACAACCCCATGCTTCCTCCAATTATTCTCCTAGATAGTTTTCTTACCAAGGTCCTATTTTCTTTCTGTTATTCTTTATTCACATTTTCCTTCTTTAAAAATTTTTTTTCCCACTGTTGCTTTAACCTTTATCAGACTGACAATCTCCTTAGGGGTTAAAAAAAAATTCCAGGCAAGACCTATAAGCGGACTTTTTTCTTCCTGCCATCTTTTGGACTGTCAGGGGGAATGTATCTCAGAACTTCGATGATTTCCTGGGTCTTTCGCTTTGTTTTGTTTTACCATCAAAAGGAGTTGACTTGAACATTTTCAAGAAAGGAAAAGAGAAGTAAAGAAGGAATTCAAGCCTTGCTCCAGTGGGTCAGCCAAGAGCTCTGCACAGCTTTCAAACACACCGCAATGGCCAGCCAATCCCTGAGAAATCTCAGCTCTGCATATTGGGGCCTGCAGCTCCAGGTTGGCAGGGAGGCAGGCTAAATGGAAGGGGGTCCACCCCAGTGGCTGGGTTCAGAGAGAGCAAAAATCCCCTGGAGGGTTAGCAACTAAAGGCCCAGGGAACTGATTCTGAATGAATATAAGAAGGCTTGTGCAGTGAAAAGGACAGTGAGCTGGAGCCAGCAGTCTGGGTTCTACTCCTGAGCAAGAATCTCCATCCCCAGAGTTTCTGTTTCCCTGTTCACGAAGGAAGAGGGGGAATCTCTGAGTTCCCTTCCAGAGTTGCCACTGACTGCCCATGTTTAAGCGCATCAGAAATGTCACTTGGAGCCAGATTCTGACCCTGACAGGGCATAAAGGCTTACAGCTATCTCTAAGGTCGGGGCCAGCCCTCAGGCATCCCTAACTCCCTTTTAATCTTCTGTTAGAACAGAAGAACAGTTTTCACTGAACCTTCTTGAACCGTTTATGTCTTCAACCTTCCCCACAGTAGAGGATAAGGAGTTCCATGTGTTCACTCCTTGATGTGTGAAATAGGACTTTACCCTCAGAAGCAAAAAGGCCTAAGGGACCGAGTTAATGGAAACATATAGCACTGCCCTTTGGTGGGCCAGCATGTGGTGAGGAGCGAGGGTAGGCAGGTTCTGAGACAGCCAGTGCTCAGCCCCTAGGGCGGAGGACTCACCGAGATCTTGGTGAAAACGTACAGCAACAGGGACAGAACAGAGAGGTAGACCTGGATCCGCTTGCCTCCAAATCGCTTCCGCAGGTACTCTGGCATCGTCACCACCTGTATGGGATGGAAGGGTGGTCACTGCCAGTCTGAGTGATCAGAAGGCCCAGAGCAAGCAGAGCAGAGGCATCCACCCCGGTGTCAGAGGTATGATTAAGGGTTAACCTTCATTGGTCAGAGAAGTCTGCGAGGTGGCCAGATGTCCCCATCCTCCATCCATTTGCTCATCTCAATCCCACATGCCCTACCACTGCAGAGGCAGCTGGGACACATCCCAGGACATTGGCCCCAGAAGGGCCCAATAAACAATTTTTTTAATGAACACATGCCTGCACATAACCAAGAAGGCAGATCCTTGCCCTGAAGGAGGAGGGGATAGATAAATAGATAGATAGTCCTATACAGAGCACCTTCTGTGAACAAGACATCATAACCACGGTGGTACCTTTTCAGTGCACCAAAAAAGGTGTCCAGGCTGGGTGTGTGCTTCACCCTGCTCTGCACATAAGCCTTGCCAAGGACTGTGGCTGCAGGCCAGCTCAACTGCTCTCCCAGTTCCTTTCTGCAAATTCCAACCACACTCTGTCTCATGTTCTCAACCCTGAGCCTGCTGTCTCCTGGAATCAGACATGTATCACCAGCAGACATGAGCCTCCAGAAGATGCAGAGTCTGCCAGTGTCTTTTTCTTATTGATTTCAGCTCCTAATGTATAGACGTACACATGGTAGATGCTCATTATATCTCAATGGACAGATGTTGCTAAAGCTCTCTTATGTAAAATGTCAGAGGTTTAGTCAAGAGACCGAGCATGCATTTGGTAGTTGAGTACCAGATGCATGCTCAGCAAACAAAGGCTGCTGATGTTTTTAAATAAAGGGAAAATATGGTTCTTTTTCTCATGTTGCTTCTGTTCCAGGGGCCGAGGCAGACAGTTACGTATCATGTGCAAATGCACGACAGTGCCTTGCAAGTATTCACCCAGACTGAGGGGATGTGATGCTTTCAACGCTGAATAGAGTGAGGCTGCTTAGGAGGGCTTCCTAGAGGGACAAGTCGTGGCCAAGTAGATCTGTTGAATGCCCCTGAGAGCAGTCAGGAACTTTATAACCCAGGAAAGAGAGACAAGTCATAGGCTCTTATCCCAGAAAGTCTCCTCTGCCCTCCAGGAGGACCAAGTTCACACAGATATTTGCCAGCAGGAAATATATATTACACAATAACAGAGCAAATACTTACCCCTGCCTTAATGTAAATGGGGACAAACACCCAGCCCAGCAGAACCACCAAAAAAAGGGCCTGAAACCAAAAAAGAGGTGGAGTCAAACCAGGAGGAACCTTAGCCCATCCTGCTGCCTGCAGGGCTTGCAGCTGCTGCAGACCATCCACCCAGCATTTTCTCTTTGGGCTCTGGGCACAACTCCCTAAGTGGCCATCAGTGCTTGGAGAAGGCCTTTGATGCCTGATTGGTCCACAGGAACAACAGTTGGGCAACAGTGGAGAGGAACCCGGGGGGCTGCCCACTGACATCACAGCTCCTTTTGCCTCTTCCCTGGTTTACAGGAGTAAAATACCATTTAGAGAGCTTTTAAAAATAAAAAAAATAATAATAGTGGAAATCTGGTGGTATTTCCAAACCTCTGATATGGCTGAAAGGGTACAGGAGGGGTTAGCTTTTTAAAAGAAGAAAGAAACACTATCGCCATCAAATCAGTGATTTCTCATGGTGGAAGGGGAGCAGGACCCTGGGGTTCCTGAAGCTGTGCCCCTCATCCATCTGTACTCCAAGGTGGCCCTGGGAGGTTCTCTAACATCTAGAACATCTCTGAGTGTAGACTGAGCTGGCTGACATCTAGAGATCCTTCCAGCTCCAGGACACAGTGTCTCTGATGTTACTCACGTTCCACTCAAAGCCCCCAGTGGCGATGCCTGCAGCTGCTCCCGTTCCTGCCAGTCCCACAAAGTGGCCACTTCCGATGTTACTGGCGAACAGAGAGGCTCCGATCTGGAAACACAAAGAGAAGGTCGGGTGAGGACTCCATGCTTCACCAGGACTCTCAGGGGTGGATCAAAGATAGAAGAGACATGTCATCCAAGAGAAGGACAAGAAAGAGCAGAGGCCAGCCAGAAACTTGACTATGCTGGAGTCTGCCGGGATCACTGGTTCAGAAGGCAGATGTGAGGACTTGGGTAATAGCAAAGATAAAAAGGAGAGGACTGCGGAAGGAGTCGTGGGATGTATCCCCAAATCAGATCTCTGTGAGTCCTTTGTGAGCCCAATGCACAACAGTCAAGAAGGCATGGGAAGCTCCACAGCCCGACCGGCCTCCTCTGGAAGTCTCCCCAGCAGCGGAGGGCTCAGGAGCAGGACCTGTGCCATTCATCTCTGTGTCCCCCAACACTCCTGACTTGGGACCTTGACCAATACAGGATCTCAGGAAATGTGGACAGTTTTTTTGAAAGAAATCATTTAAAAGGAAGCTTCTGGACGTCAGTTACTTGTCACTTGTCAAAGAAGACAGGGGGTAGAGCCAATAATTTCCAAGTGACTCTTAGCTGTTAAATTCTGTAATCCCATGAGCTCCCAAGTAACAAGAGATGCTAATAATAACTCTCTAAGTCAATATAGTAGTTTTTTTGGCCGCACCACGTGGCTTGTGGGATCTTAGTTCCCCAACCAGGGATCAAATGCAGGCCCCGGGCAGTGGAAGCATGGAGTCCTAACCACTGGAACGCCATGGAATTCCCTCGATATAGTATTTTTATTTTTTTACAAAGGTCCTATGGATACATGCACAAAACACTGCATTTTTCAAAGATATACATATGTCTAAAAACATAGGTTAGAAGACAAATTGGAAGGACATATACTAAATACCCAAGAGTTGACGCCTGGGAGAGGAAAGGAGAATGGGATTTTTGAATAGGAGATGAAGGAGAAAGTATCAGGTGAAACAAGAGAGGGATTTTGAACTGACCAATCATGGTACTGTACCATCAACTCAACCGCGTCTGAGGTCCAAGAGAACTCCAAAAAGTTCTAGAGCTTTTCTGTACCCAGGAGGAGAAGGCATAGCAACATTTGATGATCACCAAACTAGTATAATTACCCCCAGTCTTGCTGAGCAATTGGGGAAGGCTGGTAGTTATTTGTCTAATATCCCCAATATGGTTCAAATTTGGAACAAAACACATATTTCCCAAAAGGCAGATTACTCCAAGAAACTGTCCTAACCGTTCCTCGATATAAAACAGTGGGTGCTTAGTGCCATATGCTAAGTCAGAGGAGAGGGAGATCTCTGAAGGCCAGGCCAGGAGGTCTCCAGAATGATAAGGAGACAGTGGTGTAAGTGCCTTCATTCATTCACTCAACAAATATTAACTTAGCACCTACTCAATGTGTTAAGTGCCAATCTAGACACTGGGGATTCCTGTATGAAAAGTACCACCACCACCAACAAAAAAGATCAGAGAGTGGTTAAGTGCTGTGAAGAGAATAGAGAAGGTGTGATAGATAGAGTGACTGCTTTAGTCTGGGAAAGGTCCCTCTGTGGGGTGACCTCTAAGCTGAGATCAAGATGATAAAAGAAGTCAACCATGCTGAGATCAGAGGGAAAGCTTTCCAGCAAAGCAAAGACCACCCCCCCACCGCCCTCCCAAGTGAGAAGGTCATCATGGTTGGGAAGCAGAAAGAAGGCCAGAGTGGCTGGAGTGCGGTGGGTGGTGTGAGATGAGGCTGGAAAGTTGGGAGGGGATACATCACGTAGGTCCTAGCAAGCCAGGATAGGAGAGTGGATTTTACTCTGTCTGATGGGAAGCCACTGGAGGGTTTCAAGCAGGGGAGGAAAAGGATCTAACTTGTTTTTAAGTATTGCTCTCAAGCATGTGGAGAGTGTATTGTTGGGGGCAAGAGAGAAAACAAAAAAACACGTGGGAGGCAGTTGCTGCCTGTAGGTAACAGGGGATAGCGGCTTGGTCTCAGGTGGTGGCAGTTGAGACAAAGACAAGCATAGAGATTGGGGTACATTTTAGAAACAAAGTTGATGAGCCCTGTTGATGTATCAGACATGGGAAATGCGGGAAAGGGTAATCAACGGTAACCCCTAGATTCAGGACTTTAGTAACTGGGTGGACGTCATTCATTAAGAAGGGAAACTGTGTACTTTGATTATTGCTGCTTAAGAGTTTAATCTTTTGTTATCTGTACTTTAAAGTGTGTTGTACAACATATGCATGCTTGCCTTTGTTAAAAGAATAGGACCCAGTAAGCTTTGCATAAAGAAGTAAATAACCATTGGCTCTGACCATAAGTGGAATTCTCATTGTGTAAAAATTCTATTGATCTAGACTGCATTTCGTCCTCATTATAGCACAAACAGTAAAATGCTTTGTGATGCAGAAGAAGAAGAAGGAGGGGGAGGAGGAGGAGAAAGAGAAGAAGGAGGAGGAGAAGAAGGAGAAACTGAGAGGAAAGCAGGCTGTTTAAACACATCCACCTCCTTCCTCTCCTCAGAGCTTGGTGGGGATAAGAGTTCACTTTTAATCAGGATTCCCTTCTGCATGTAGCCTGCCTGTCATTACACATCTTTTTTTTTTTCATTTATCATCTCTCACTTGATAAATTATTAAGCCTAATGTTATACTATTAAGAGCATAATTACCAGTAATAATTAACTGCATTAGATTAACCTTAAGTTCAAGAATTTCTCTCCAAGATCCCCCCAAAGGGGGACAGTGGGCTCTAAGCAGTTGTAGGCTTTCCTGAGGCAGCCCTTCACCATCTGATGGAATGGGGGCCACGGGAGCTTTGCGGGTATTAGTCCAGGTTCAGTTCATTTCTATCATGGTCACTACTGTTTTCCAGTCGCTCACCTTGGCCTCATCCGACCTCCCCCGCTTTGCCCCGTGACCTGCACTCAGTCATTTACAAAACCCTGACTCTGCCTTCACAATGGCATAGGCAGCTAGCACTTTTTACATCGCCCTTGTACAGGCTGTCATTGCTTCTTAACAGGCTTCGAGGTGCTCTCCAGTCTCCCCCCACCCACATGACCTCTCCAAAGCACAACTCTGATCAAGTCACTTCCCTATTCAGAGACCCTTCCGGACCCCCAAATGAGCCTGCCAAGCAGTCTTTCCTGGCAGTTCCGGGTTTAAAGATGCAGTCCCAGGAATTCAGCAAGATTTCACACTAAAGTTCCCTCCAGTGAGAAGGCAGCATGAGCTTAAAAATTAAAGTTTGAATGCTCTCTTGCCCTCTTCCAATCTGGGTGATCGTAACATCTGCAAGCCTCAATCTTCTCCCATGACAGGGTTGTGCAGGAGTCAAAGGAGATTATGAATCAGTAATGACACACTCAGCGGACCCTCAATCAGTGTCCTTTCTTTCCTCCAAGAGGACAGTCACTTCACCCTCAAAGACAGTTCACAAGAGCTACAATGGACACTGTTATGGACTGAACTGTGTTCCTCCAAAATTTATATGTTGAAGTCCTAACCCTCAATGTGACTATATTTGGAGATTGGGTCTTTAGGGAGGAAGTTAAGATTAAATTAGGTCATAAGGGTAAGGCCTAATCTAATACGACTGGTCCTTATAAGAAGAGGAAGAGACACCAGTTCTCTCTATGTCTCCGTCTCTCTCTCTCTCACTGAATGTGCACAGAGAGAAGGCAGCCGTCCACAAGCCAGGAAGAGAGGTCTCACCAGGATCAACCCTGACAGCACCTTGATCTTGGATTTCTAACCTCTGGAACTGTGATAAAATAAATTTCTGTTGTGCAAGCCACTCAATCTGTTGTGTTTTGCCATGGCAGCCCAAGCGGGCTAATACATACATCATTGCTTTATCACCTACACTCCTCTGACAGGTTTTCACACCACCCTTCCTCTCACTGGAGCTTGTTAACAATGCTTTCATCACTCTGACTTCCCAAAAGCCCTCTCTGTCCACACCTCACCCATGTTCATGTCCACTTGGGAATCATGCCCCACCTAGGGAGTGACCTATGAAGCATCTTGTCCTTCTCTGTAATTTCCTCCCACATTCCTTCTCAGTTCAGGATTTCAGACTTCCTCTGAAATGTTCCCAGCTTGACCTTGCTTCTGACTAACTTCTTTCCAGGACTTCCTCATTCTCTGATGGGGCTTAAGAAGCCATTCCAAGTATTTAGATGGTTTGCTGTCACAGTGCAAAATGTGCTGGGTCTGACCAAACCCAACAGGTTTCGCAGCATGGTAATTGGGGAAATAATGTAATGTCATTACATTACAAAGAGAAAAAGACTATGTTTTCCTCTGACTTTAGGGAATTCACAATCATAGTTTACTGCCTAAATTTCCTATCCTAGATGGTTGGCAGGAGGGAAAAACCTAGGGAGAAATTAGAGAATCACAGAATCTTCCAGAACTGGATGGGCCCATAGATGTCACAGCTTGAATCCCCTCGGAAACACTCCCTCCCCCCCTCCCCCCGCACCAAGTGAAGGTCAGCTTCTGGATGCGTGCCTCTAGTGACAGAGAACGCCCCACCTCACGAGGCAGCTGAATCCATAGTGGAACAACTCTAATGGTTGCAATGTCCTTCTTTACCTTGAGCTTAAATCTCCCCATTTAGTCCTACTTGTGCCCTCTACAGTGCAACAGAACAAGTCAAATCTCTCTTCCACAAGCTAGTCTTTCCAGTATTTGAGGACAGGGGTTGTACCCACCCTCAAATCTTCTCCAGGCTAAGCTTCCTCTTCTCATGTGTCTGCTCCTCACTGGCGGCCCCTGTTGCTCCCTCTGTTGCCCTCAGCCCCACCTGTGTCCCCAAATAGGTCTCAGACCCTGGGCCTCTAGACCAGTCCAGACATGGGTTGTCCGGAGCTAAGCAGGCTGCCCTTCTTGACTTACCATCTGTTTTTAACATCATGTGGCTTCAAATACTTTTAAACCTGCCTCTCAGCCATGGGTCTTGGCAGTGCTGAGGACGAAGCCAGTCCCTCTTATTCCCATCACTGTCAG